CGCTGATTTTCTTGCTAGCACGGGGGCATCTATACCCCAGAGACGCACCCTTCTTCCTGAGGACATTCCTCTCTGGCTTCGGACGCTCATTCGGATGGACCAGTTAGAGTACCCATCCTTCAGATTCGGTCGACCGCCACCTCCTGCCCCTGACTAGATTTGTCTTTTTGGACTCCATGCCAGGTCACTCTGACCAGGACGGTCTTTTATGTGATCCTTGTATTGTATATTTTTATTTTTATTTTTTACTTTCTATTTGCTTTTTGATGTTGCTCTTCGTATTTCCGACTTTGATGTAGACCTTGACTTTTTAGCCCTAGCTGGGCCTTTATATTTACAGGTCGGGGTTGTAGCCTCAACCCCCATCCCATCCTGGGATGTTTATTAAAAAAAAATAAATAATAATAATAATAATAATAATAATAATAATAATAATAATAATAACAATAATAATAATATACCATGTCATCACAAACTGCATTGCACCATTTAGAAATGATTGTTGCATCTTGGGTGAGTTTTGCTACTGTGTAGACCCTCGTGCGCTGGTTTAGATTGAACCTCTGTATGTCCAATTTGAATAAATGGCTTATCTTGACTAATTGTTCAAGCTTATCGGGAAATGAGTCACCATCACCAGCCAAAATTAATTAAGACAAAATATGATTCACTATCAACAATAATAAATTTTTGTTACCATATTTAGTGAATATTTTAGGTCTGCATCTCGTTTCCCTATAATGGGAAACACTTGAGGGTCAAAAAGAATAAATGAGGCACTTCCAGTATTGTCTTCTACATGTACATGCACACGATATCTATTCATTCGTGAATATAAAAATAGTCAGTATATTGTTATTGACCAAAATATAGTATGTTATTAAAAACTAAACAAACTAAAAATTACAAATGATATTATTTTGCATCCTCACCGAGTCAGAACCACATTAGGACGACAATTACAATTATCGCACCAAAGTCTTCTCCTTTTTCCTTAACTTTACGGTAGCATTTGTTGCAAGCATGATAATACCAATTTTGATTGGTTTGTATATGAACTACCTTGCAATGTAGAATACAGGAACATTCTTGTATTACAATTTTTAATGAATATATTAGATCAATTTATGTTTGTATATCATAAAAAAATACTTTGTTTTAAAACATAATAAATAAACTTTATTAAACAATGACCTCATTTACTGATTCCAAATAAATTGCACTTTTCTCGAGTGTGAATTTATTGTTCTTTTGGGACCACACACTCGAGCATTACCCTGTTGGGGCCGTGTTAGTGTTTAGTATTGAGTCGTGTGTTGGGTGATTATTACCCTGTTAGGGTCGTCTTTAGGCGGGTTTCGTCCTGTCCTTTCATTTTTATTCGGCCGGTGGCTGTGTTCGTCAGTTGTTGTTTGTATTTGCACATTTGTGCCCTTATTTATAATATTTCTATCGTTCCGGAAAAAAAAAAAAAATTGTACTTTTGAATTTCAACTCAGACGGGAAGTCATCAATAGTTGATTTTTGGATGCTTCTTCTCTTGAAGAATAAGAAACTGAATCACGAACTGAATTGTCCTTTAAACTATAAAAAAGTAAAATATCCAAATTCAATTGTGGAATAATAAAAGTCAACAGCATGATGCAAGGAATATGTGGGTTTTACGAAACTCATCTTATTGTATGAAATAGGGAAAAAAACACAAATGGACAAAGTGACAGAAAATATTTATCATAAATTACCTATTCATGTAAGAGCAATGTCACCAACGTCTTCATTAATCATCAACTTACAAACAAAGAATTTTGCAAGCTCACATGCCTGTATTTAAACCAACCAAAATTGAATTTAAACTTATTGTTTGCAAAAAAAAAAAAAAA